CTCCAATCGCGGCCAATTGGCCGAGCGGATGAGCTCTCGAGCCTAGCGGGCCGCTCTGGCCAGAGGCGGCCTCGCTGACGCAAGAGGGCGAGGTCCCGGCGGACGCGGCCGAGCCGCCGCGCCACAACCAGGCGTCATCCGTCAATTAGCGCCGAGACAGCCAGTCGGCGGGAGATCAGGAGTGCCCTGAGAGCATGGCGGAGGCGCCGTGCAGACGGTCAGGCCGCCAGGCTCGTAATACAGACTGGGATGCAGACTGGGCGGGCTGGACCAGGGCACGGTGGCCCAGATCACGTCAGATCGGGGCGGACCCACGCAACGACGTGGGGTGATCGAACGCCCAACGGAGCGCAGAATGACGGGCAGCCAACAGGCGGGGAGACGAGCGCCCCGGGTCACCTGCAGTGGCTCCTTCACACACGGCACAGCACACGTGCAGAGCCAACAGGCGGGGAGACGAGCGCCCCGGGTCACCTGCGGTGGCTCCTTCACACACGGCACAGCACACGTGCAGAGCCGACACGGGGAAGCGCTCTCCGACCGGCCGAGCGGCGCGCTGGCATGCCGCGGACGCGGCCGTACCGGCAGCAGCTGGCGTTTGGAGAGCGTCAGGCGTACCATGCTGGCCGCGAGAGCTGCGAGGCGGCTGGGCAGCGGCGCCGACACACCGAACGTCACTGGCGCCCGCCGCAACCACAGCCGCCGCGCCGCCGCCGCCGGCCCACCAAACACGGCCCCGCCGGCCGACCGGCTACGCACAGCACCACACACTGGGCCATGCCACCGCAAAGCCGGTCAGAAGCAGCTCCTCCAGTCCAGACATGACATCAGTTTATCGCTGCACAGCGGGCCGTCGCTAACAACTGCGAAGTCAACATACGTGAATGCGATGTAAACTTAGTCACGTGGTCCTTAGACAACAGAAAACGCTGCGGCTTCCCTCCAGAATATGAATTGCAGATGACGGGCAACAAGCGCCTAAACAAACCTAATAAGATGTAAATGATACGACAGAAAGGCTATATGCAGAGCCGAGCTCCGCTAACTCCGTCCCAATGGATGTCAATGTCAATGTCACACCGTCGGAATGTCACACCGTCGGAATGAGGCGCCGCCGTCGGGTCATGCTGCGCCTCTGGCATGGCACACACTTGTAGACCTGGAGTGCGTAGTCACACCGTCGGAATGAGGCACCGCCGTCGGGTCGTGCTGCGCCTCTGACGTGAACACACCAGGTCCGCTGCCACTTGGCACCACCACACCAAAGCCCCGTTACACAAGCCTACATACTTCGTGTGAGCAACAGAGGCATTTAGCTCCTGCCTTTCGGCGGAAGAAGCCCCGTTACACCAGCCCACATACTTGTCATTTCGAACGCCTCGAATTCCAGACCCGTCGTGGGGCGTTTTCCCAGCATACTGAAATTCGATTACGACAGAAGAAAGACCCACAACTAGCTAAGCCTCGCCACACACCGCGGTCGCAATGATCTCAGACGGAGCGACCATTTTACATAAAAACGTTATATGTTGCCTCGCTTCTGCTATCAATATCTGCAATGATATGAAAAATATGCCATTTTGCCACGAAAGCAGCGCCATGCAGAGGATCGAAAGTGCGTTCACATCTCCGCCCTGCTGAGTGACTACAAGCTGATGACTTTGCCTGTTGACAACTCCATGCTTACGCGCGCTTATCAAAACCCATGACATGCTTCCACAAGGAAATAATCCGAAAACAAAGTCGCATCAGACATTCATCCGCGTGTTCGCGACGGAGCTTGTGATATAAACATCAATTACGATTCACAAATCCGTTGTGATCTGTCACAACTTGAGCCTTCCGTATGCCCGAACGGCGGGCCCCGAAGCCGCAAACAAGTTTGGCCAGCTTCGAAGCCGCGCCGGTTCCGGAGTGCTCCGACCGTCGGCCCCAGCTCTAAACGGCCGGCCGCCGCCTGTCTCAGCGCAGCTGGGCCCGACTGCAGGCACGTAGCGCGGTGTTGTTGCCGCCGCATGTTCTGCGGTTCGCTGACCTGGCCCGGCCGGCTCAGACGGTCGCGTGGATGCGGGTAAGATGACGTAAATTGCGTCATTATTTGTCGCGGTATGTTTACTGAATGTTATCGCTTAGTCTCCATCTGTCATTCGGGCTATTTACATAGCAGTTGTAGAAACATCGGCGAACAGATGTATGGGTAGGCTGAAACGGAGGGGGCGAGTAACAAACCTTTTCAGCTAGGCCTTTCCCAGCTCTGACGTCGCTCGCGTGAGCTTTGCCAGCCACGGATCTCAGGAAGATGGCGTGGACACATGGGGAAGTTACTTGCACGTCATATGGCAGACATGATGACGGGTCATTTGCACGTCATATGGCAGACATGATGACGGGTCATTTCATTCAGAAGTTGATGTGCCCAATCGTGTTAAAATAAGAGATTATCTGAGAACATCGTAACGATACGTGCTGACTCGCCTTTATATCAAAATGTTTTGAGTAGAGGCCTGACCACATGTACACGTAATTCGGAACGCCCAGTCACATTTGTGATGAAGGTTCCTGCGCTGGAGGCGCGTATAAATGCAACTGCTTTCCTAATTACATAAAGCTAGCTAGTTAAAACTTATCGTGAACACTTTCACACGGTGTAGCAGCGATTTTGTATGAAAACCCGCGGCTCTAGACTTCTGCATTCAGGTCGCAGGACACTGCTCGACTTTTGACGTCCTCAAAAACAACCATCGCGGCCGGCACGTGCGGGCCTGCCTGCTCCGGAACACGACGCGAGCCACAAGTTCCCTCGCTCCGCCCTTTCAACGCCAGCCGACCGGGGCGCCGCCTAGCGGTGACCTCCAGCGCTGCACACCGGCAGCCCTGCTGCTGCCAATCGGGGCATAGTTGCACGATCCGGGGGCATACCGGCACGTGCGGGGCGCGGCGCAGCCTCTGACGGCCAACGAGGGTCAGACGGCTGCCGTGCCGTGTCGTGCCGTGTCGTGCCGTGCGCTCATCAGCGGCTGGCGGGGGCCGCCGCCGCCGTGGGGGGCGTGACGGAGCGCGCGAGGCCGACCTGTCGTCGGCCGCCGCCGGGGCGTGGTCCATGGTCCGTGGTCCGTGCGCCGAGCACTGACAGCCGTGCCGTTGGGTGGGGGACGGTAATCAATGGTGGGACGTCGCTGGTTGTTGGCAGGCGGCAGGTGGTTGTTGGTGGGCGGCTGGTGGTTGTTGATGGGCGGCAGGTGATTGTCAGCCGACTTTCGACGCTAGCTGACGATTGCCTGCCGTTGTCAATGGTCGGCGACCGCGGGCCATCATATGATTGTGAAATGCTGGTTGGTGGTAGGCGGTCACTGACCAGACGCTGCCTGGTCGCCGGCGTTGTCTGGCGCGTACATCACCTGTTCTTAAGCGCGCTGGGCCCAACAGCCTCTCCCGCTGCTGTCACGGCACATCATGCACAACCTCCTTGGACGTGCCGTGAAGGGCAGCACGAGCCGTGAACGTCCGCCTGGTGAGACGATGACGCCCGGCCGCGTCTGGTCACGCCCGCCGCCTCGTTCCGACGGGCCGTCACCGTCCGGAGTCCGGACCCCAGCAGCCGGCGCGCTGAGTCAGACCAGCACCGCTGCACGCTGCACGGCCTCATATGGCCGGCGAGCGGCAGACCACCGCGGCGGCAGACCACCGCAGCGGCCCCCACCTTGAGACAGGCCCGCTATGGCGCATGGGGAACTTCAGTGCAGCCGGCCAACGCATGCAGCCTGAATTCCCAGCGGCCAGCGTGCACCTTTGCGGTTCCAAAAAGGGCTACCGCGCACGCCTTTACCGTTCCGCCGATATGATCGCAGAAACGGATCACGCGGTGACGCAACCCTTGACCTCGAAATCGCGGCAGCGCCGTGCATGCCGCTTGCTTGACAAAGAGATTGCGACCATGCCTAATCACCGCGCCCGGCGCCGGTGAGAGGCGCCGGGGCGAGGCGCTGTCGATGGTCGGGCGCCAGGGCAGACGGGCCGACGATGGTCCGGGGCTACCCTCTGTGGCCGGGTGAGGGCGGCTCCAGCCTCCAGGCCACTGTGCCTGGAGCCAGCCAGGTCGCCGGAAGACCAGCACCGATCAGCGAATCACACAAGGCGGGGAGAGAGCACGGATGCACAGCGTGCTCCAATGGGGTCAAATAATGCTGCCGCAGGAGGGGAGCCGTGAGTCATTGCTGCCACAGACCCAAAATGCAACGAAATACAAATGTTACGCCGAAAGCGTCCAGCGTTCCGGTGGGATGACGCTTTAAATCTCATCGCGTGCATGCCGTGCACTCGAGCGTCCGGAGTCCGACCCCAGACTGCCACTGATGGCAGCGCATGGAGAGCCAACGCTTCAACGAATTAGAGTGTTCCGATGGGAACTTCTGGAAAAAGCCCCAATGAAGCCCAAACCATTGTTTTCAAGTAAAAACTTATCAAAATTCAGCGCGAGTTAACCCGAGGTGTATTTGACGCACATGTCGACCGTGTCCAGCGCATGAACATCACGTAATCAAAGTTTTTGTTTGCTGACTGATCGCAGCTGATGTAAAGAGAAAGGGGTGGGAGCGTTCCCAGCATCGTAAACCCCGACCTGCACCGCCCAGTTCGCCGCCGCTTCGTGCTCTCCCATCTGTCGCACAACGCACTCTTATTTCGTAACTTCCCAACCAAATCGTGCATAGCAATGATCTTTCGTAAATCTTCTCCCAGCCGTCCTACGCAACATCGTTTCACGATACCGGAGGATAACCGCAACACACAACAGCTGCACCGCTGCACAACCAGAGCGTCGTCAAGAGCGCCACATATGCCGTCACCGCGAGCCTTAGCGCGTGCCAGGCCACAGATAGCAGCAAAGACCAGGCCGGTGAGCCGAGGTCGGCCGCGGGGCGCGGGGCCGCGACACACGTCCTCCAGCCGACCTCCGCACCGACCAGGGGCCACCACTGCCGCGCCGCCCGCCCGCCACCCACCTTGAGCTTGGCTTTAAGCGACTCCAACATGGCGTGTCCGGCGCGCTGGTCCGCCGCGACCCATCAAACGGCGCCGCTCTCGCGCACTCCACCGCGGGCACGCTTTCATTCAACCCGATCGACTGCGGCGGCGCGGCGCGGCGTGGCGCGGCGCCCGGCCTTGGCGTCCCGGTCCGCGGCCGCGGTCGGCCGGCCGGCCGGCCCCAGCCGCCGCCGGTCAGCTGACCCGGCCGCGCCGTACAACGGTCTGACGCGTCACCGGGCGTGGGAAATGGCGGCACCGCGCCGGCCGCCGCTGATCCGCCGGCCAAGCGGCCCGCCGCCACCGGCACACCCCTGCCGCGGCGGCCGCTGCCCCGCGCCCGTGAATCAGCTTCCGGTCACGACCGGCGCGCCGCCGTCCGCCGACCGCTATCGCTCCGCAGCACGGCCAGAACGGCGTGGGATTTCAGAGGCGGCTCGGCGGCGTCGCCACGGCGTGGTGGCGGTGACGCTGGGGCTCTAGTGGCGGGCGCTTGTGCCAGGCTCCGGGACGCGCCAGGGGCCTCGGTGTCAGTAGTGCGTCACAGGCCCTGGGACCGGCGGAGCGCGGCGGGCCCCAAGAACCGGGACGGATCATCGGAACGATCCTCATGACAGGCTCTGCAAGTGACATAGTGTGAAAGACTCCAGGGATAGCCGCACTCCACCGGCCCTGAGGGCGACGGGTAGTGACAGACCTCAGAGACGGTAGTAAGTGCAGCCATTACGGACGGCGATACGTGACGGGACTTGGCGACGGCAAGTGACATGCTCTGCGAACTCCATGGCGTGGCCGGTTCCTTGAACCAACGTTGGCATGCCGGCGCGATGGCCGGCGGTACGTGCCGGCCGCGCGCCTCCTGCTCCTCTGAACGCGAGCCTGATTGGGTAAGGCGGCAGTCTCACTGGGCGAGAGGTGCGGTCCCGAGCCATATCCGGCGCCGTGCCCGTCTGGTGGCCGCATCACCTTCGTACGCCCACCGGCGGGCCCTTCCGACCGCTACAGATCCGTGAGCAAGATCGAGGGGCAGCGAACATAGAACAACGGCGGAGTGAGGCCCGGATGCGTTAGATCCGCAAGCGTGCCACCATCCCGCGCAGTGATGAAAGACAGTAGTCAGCAAGTCACTGAGGTCTATATAGACATGTGACGCTTCCATCCACCCCGGGCGAGAATGCCAACAGGAGTGGACGGGACTGTTCAACAGCCTTGACCGGCGTCGTCTGTCTGCCGCCGTTCGCACTGGCTCGGAGCGGGGCGGCGGACACTGACTGACCCGGTCACTGACAGCCGCCGGCCGCCGGCCAAGTCGTCGCCGTCCAGACGGCCATCCTGACGACTGCTGGCCGCCGCGGACCGCTCGGACGCGAGCCAAGCGACCGCTGCAGCGAGCCGCGCCCGGCCGTCTGCCCACCTCCGGCCGGGACATCCGCGGCCGCCAGCGAGGCCGCCCCTGGTCGCCGCACCAGCAGCGTCCCGCCCGCGGCCGCCAGCGAGGCCGCCCCTGGCCGCCGCACCGGCCGGAGGCACAGACGCCCCACGGCCGACCCAGAAACGACGGCGATGGCGGCGGCGGCGGCGGCGGCGGCGGCACGACCCGTATCGGGGCCGCAACGACGCTAAGACGAAACACACCGCCGGGAGTAGACGTTGACCACCGCTTGCACAATCCGCTGGCGACAGGCGCGGCTCCCCGAGTCTCACCGCCAGCCGTCAAGCAAGTGCCGACAGGTCAGCGACGGCCTCCTGCGGTACATATCCCTCCTAAGACCCGTGAGACGCGGTGACAGACCGGTCCCGGGCGCCACGAGCACCCCGCCGCTCGCCGCTGTCCAGGCGGCCGGCCGGGCCGTCGTGTGGCCTGTTTGCCGGCGTGAGTGTCCAGATATGTGTCACGGACGGCCGGCGCTGCGCCATGCGGCACACGCGCCCAGCCAGGGCCGGGGCCTTGGTCGGCGCTGACCCGCCGCCGAACGGCCGACCGGTCAGCCGCGGGCGCAGAGATCAGCCGCGTGTCACGCAGGCTCATGACGTCAAAGCGATCGGTCTGCGGGGACGGCTCTGCCGGCGGCGTTCGACAGGGGACAGCTCTGCCGGCGGCGGTGGCGGCCGGCCGCGAGTCCCAGTCGACACTCGGCCGTCTGTGGGCGACAGCCGGCGGCCAACACGCGGCCGATTGGCTGATATTGCCGCCGTCCCAGGCCGGTGGTCAGCATGCTGATGCGGCCTGCACCGGCCTCTCGCATCGACACGGACACCACAACCGCGTCGTGCTAGCGACCGCTGCACGACGGCTCGCGGCCGGTCCGGCCCATCCGCGAGCCCGCCAGCGCACGCTGGATCTGTCGCCAAGTTCGTGAAAGCACGGAGGGCCTGTAGGTTTCGTCAACGCATCAGCGCAGTCGTACGACAAACAATCGTGCCAGGCAGGCCGCCCTATTAATCGCAGCTGCGGCAGGTGACGCCGACTGCGCGCCGGCCGGGGAGACGGCCAGACGATATAACGGCGAGATAGCCCCCAATGCGGCCGCCGCCAGCTGGGCCGCCAGATAGCGCCGCACGCTTTACGCCGGCCTCGCTCCATGGAACCGGACTGAGTCGGCGTTGGCAAGACCTCACCTCGTCCTGCCATCCCAGACCGGCGGTAGGGCGGCCACCATCTGAGCCCGTCATCTGCGGTATGGCCGCGGCCGACCCGCTGACAAGAGAGCCAGATACCAGGAGCATAACGAGATCAGGATGTCAGATGTTAGAGCCTGGAAATCGGATCGCTACAACGGGTTTTATTGGACAGATCGGACCAGACGGAGCAGGGGATCACGCAGATGAAGATCAGCAGATATCAGAAGTTCGGGCATATCAGACCAGATACATCACCAGTGACCTAGCAGATCACACCGTATCGTCATATTGTCCGAAATTCGAGCCGATCAGACCCAGCGACGTCGAAAAACGTGCTGACAGGTTGTACGCATCGCATCACCAAGCGCCATCGGGACGTGATCCAGGACAAGCTCAGCGGGGATCTACCCTGTTCGTAAAGCGGCACGGTCGCATCGTCGTGAACCCGACCGGCGTCAGGTGTCGCTGGGTTCGGGCAGAGCCCTCGCGAACACGAGGCGGCCCTGGTGCGGAGAAGCGGCAGCCACAGATGGCCGCCGCGAGCCACACTTCATTACCCCCGCCGCCGTCTGGGTTGGACGGCGTCGGCGTCAGCGGGGACGGGCCGCCAACAGTCGAGCGTCATCAAATGGACCAGCCGAGGCTGCAGGGCTCGATAATGTCGAAGACACGTCACGTGATGCTGGCAGGCGAACCATCCATCTGCTGTTCTCCGTGATCGGCCAATTCAGCTCTGGAGCGTCTGAGATCGTCAGCCGAATTCCCGAGCAATTCCCGTAGCCGACCGACCTGACCTGATAAACCCCTCCCCTCATCCCACAGCACTGTCTGAGCCACCGAAAATCAAGCAGCGTGGGAGGCGAAGACAAAGCAAGAAACATCCGGTGGTGCTACACAGCCATCGGCAACCGCGCTCCATGCCAGCCTTTCTCAGCAACCCCGGGCGCGAGCGGTGAGACTGAGCCCCGGGCTGAGACCAGTGCGACAGAGCCCCCGGGCTGAGAACAGTGTGATAGAGCCCCGGGCTGAGAACAGTATGACAGAGCCCCGGGCTGGGAACAGTGTGACAGAGCTCCCGGCCGTGAACAGATTGACAGATCCCCGGCCGTGAACAGTGACAGAGCCCCCGGCCGTGAACAGAAGTGACAGAGCCCCCGGCCGTGAACAGAGTGACAGAGCCCCCGGCCGTGAACAGAGTGACAGAGCTCCCCCGGCCGTGAACAGCGTGATGACAAAGCTGGAAGCCGCAGTGTTCATGAGCGCAACGTCGCCCACCGCTGCGTCCACTATGTCACGAGTATTGCAACAATGACGCCCGGCAGCGCGCGTGACGAGACAGCAGTGTGAGGAGCGCTATGCTGAGGCACAAACGTGCGCTTGACCCGCGGTTCAGTCCGCTTGCCCCCCGGGGGTTAGCCGGCCCACCCCGTGCTGCGCGACCGCCCATCACGGACCGGACGGCGGCAGGGTGCCACCCAGCCCGCGTCGGTCACGACAGAGCACGACATCGATCCTGACACGGGGCGGCGTCGACCCGTCAGACGTCGGTCAGGTCGGGGCCGTCTGACCTCACTGCCATCGGCAGGTCAAGGTCGGCCGGCCCAGCGGCCACCGGTCAGCTGGCAGCCGGCTGGACGTCCGGCGGCGGTTCGGAGGCACCTGCATGTGGCGCCGCATTCGGGTGGTCCAGACGAGCGCCCCCACAGCTGAGCGCCGCTGCCGGCAGCCCCCTGGGCTTCCCCAGCCGCCAGCCCCCAGGGCCTCCCCAGCCGTCGGCCCCAACGACCCCCCCAGCCGCCCCAGCATCGTCTGAGATAAGCCGTAGGCGCGGTTAGCCGCAGCACCACACCAGGTCCGCGCCTCCTCGCACTGCTGCTCGCCGCACCGCACACACGGGACCAGCTGTGGCCGTCGGCCTCGGCCTCGACCCCAGCGGCGGCGGCGGCGCACCGCCCCCGACAGGCCGCGACTCACCTCCGACTCCTCGGCCTGCCGACGACCCACTCCGGCGGGCGCGGCCGCCGCTGCCGCCGACGACGGGACAGACGCAGCGCGCGCCGGCCCGCTCCGCACGATCGATTCTCGGCTCTGACACAGACTGCAAGGACGGCCGCCGCCGGACGCAGCCGGAGCGTGCTGCCCACCGCCGAAAGTCGCTCCCGAAAACGGTCCCGGCTTCAACCACGGCCACGATCAAGGTTGAGAGGCATATTGAGGCGTGGCCTGGACGCGGCACGGCGCAAGGCGAAACGCCGTCAGTAGTCCGCACGTGGTGTTCCATTTATCTTTTTTTGTGAGAACCACTTGCATCCATGCAAAACACCAGTGCCAGCCGAGTAGGCTTTGAGTAAAATCTTACGCGGCGGGGGGAGGCGGAAAGGAGATAACCAGAGTACCAGCGCAGGAAGCTGGGCTAACTGCGGGTGGCCTTAATCTATGATCAA